ATAGATAGATAGATAGATAGATAGATAGATAGATAGATAGATAGGCAGACAGCTAGATGGAGGAACGTAGGCAGGCATACGCACGAGTTCCGTACCTGATTCTTCGATGGCAAGCCGGTCCATCAGCCACTCGATGAGGTCGTAACCTGCAACACGCAGGCAGCCTACTGTAGTGTCCTGGCCGTGATGGCCGCTTATGCTTACTCCACAACGCAGGTACTGATGGCACTCACCCATGAACGCTGAGGGGATCGAGGTGAGGAACTGTTTCTGACTTCGCACGGGTACCCCGCTCTCAGGGTCTTGCATCTCCCGCACCAGCCCCTCCATCTGTGTGCGCGCGCGCGCGCGTGAAAGAGAGAGAAAGAGTGATTAATCAGGCGTGATTAATTGGTCGCGTCGGGCGCGCCGTGTGCGACGGGAACTTCTGTTCCCGGGCACGACGCGTCGCGAGCGCGGAAATGCCGGCCACGGCCACAGGCCAACAAGTGCATTGCGTTAATATTATCAATTGTCAATCGCCTCGTGGACTCGATACCGACCTTGTCGAAGGCGCAAGGCCTGTGAACGCGTGGCTCCTTCTCTTTTTGTTGTTGATTGCTAGAGGAGGCCTCCATCGCGATCGAGGCGGCCCTCTGCGTCGCTGGCAGGAGCAGTGGCGATATCGATGGCGGAGGGGGCTGGGGAGCTGGGCCGGAGACGGGTCTACCCGAACTCCATGGGGCTCTGGCCCCATCCCATCACTCCAGTCACCCCCGCACGCCCACTGAAACATCCGGTAGATCGTTTCCTCTCGTTATCACCTTTATCCCATTTCTCTCTTTCTTTCCCTCTCCCTCACTCTCTCTCTCTCTCTCTCTCTCTCTCTCTCTCTCTCTGTCTCTCGCTCTTCCTATGTTCGCGGAAGCTCGTAAGGTCTTTCATGGTAAGGATCCCCCTTTCGCGAGAGAAACGGTCGTCGTCGAGACGACATGCGTCGACAGGCGAGACGCAATCATCGCCTCCTCGGCGACGCGATTGTCGTCGCCGCGTGCGTCATCGCCTAATATAGACGGCGTCTTCCTTTCACTGTTTTATCAGTCCCGACATCGGCATACGATCGTCGTCGTCGTCGTCGTCGCCGGTCCGTCTTAACGCTCAATCTGGAGCCGAGCGGGCGACGGGGAAGAATGGGGGAGCCACACAGTCGTGAGAGTCCTCGCGAACTTTCGAGAGCCGGTGTGTCTCCGAGCGAAATTCGCGCGGCGGGGGTTGCTCGCCCTCTAGCCGCGCTCAGGAGGGAAGCTTAACTGCGCGGTATAATTTCGAATTTGCTTCCATGTCCCCTCCCATTTAATTATTCCCGGCCGTCGTTTACGCGCATACAAGCCGCAATTAGTCGAGAGCACTTTTGCAAACAGGGTCTCGCGTACGTTCCCGAATTGAGCACCGGCGGTTTGGAATTACGCGCGCCGCTGGCGTAATTAAAAAATAAGCTGTGTCGGGTCGGCCGGGCGAGGCCGGTCAGCACTTCCGATCAGCCGGGGCCGCGCGTTCAGAGAAACTCGTTCTCCCGCCGCGGTCACGCGGAAATGTGTCCCGCTCTCGTGGCTTTTAATTCTTCTCCGGCTTTTAGTTTTACGATCGACGTCGACCACGTCGACGAGTACGAGAGCGCGGCGTGGCTCGCCGCTCGTTATTTATGAAGACGCATCGGATTTAGAGAAGCCGACAGAAATATCTATTGCTCGGGACGCGATCCGGTATTGAAGTGCGCTCGCGACGCCGCGTGTACAAAGTTTACAAATAAATAAGGCGTGTCGTCGTCGTCGTCGAACAGGCCATTTAGCTCGAATAAAGGAGAGCCCGGCGTTGTGACGCATTGCGCTTCCGCCTCGGAACTTCCGCCGTGCCGTTCCGCGGCCGCGTGACAATAATAAACAGCATAGTTCATGGCGGACGCTGCAAAACGCTCGGGTCGATGTCATAAGGGAGAAAAAACTTCCTCGGCCGCGACCCGTATTTCGACCTTCGCGGGTCGAAACATTGACTCTGCCGGTTTCTCGCAGTCGATCGTGCGAATAAAAATCCCCCGCGAGATACTTTCGCGTAAATCTGGAAAGCGTTGTCGGCTGCGCGAGATATGCGGGAACTCGTAAGGCACAAATTATAATACGGGCTTTACGCCCGACTTTTATTTTTCCCCGTCTTCTTCCTTCTTCTTTTCCTTCTTCTCTTTCCACGGGAGGCTCATAGGTTAGAGAGACTCAGACTCGCGTGGAGAGAAAAACAGGAGGAAGAAGCAACTCGCGGAAACTTGGTGTTGGAAGTTATGTAGCCACATGCGGAGCTAAAGGCGCGATCGTACGGGATCGTACGAAAGTTTTCGCGCGTGATAGTGCGCGAATGATCCGTGGAAATGACGTTTAAATCGAAGTTTCACCGTTAAAAATGACGAGTCACGGAGCCGATCGCGTCGCCTTATCGTCTGTCTGTCCGACCGGACTGATCAGATCTCTCTCGTGCGGAGAGAAAGAGAAAGAGAGAGAGAGAGAGAGAGCAAAGTCGGCGTAAATCGCCATCAAGGTCGCAGACGTGATGCATTGGCGGGAGACGAGCGTTCTGAAAATGGAGCTTCATGCATGTGTGATCAGGTAAGGTCGGGCATTCAGATAAAGCCGTTGTATCTCGCCGTCGTCGATATATCGATGTATCTCGGGTTAATGAACCCGGACTTATTCGACCGGCGATAATGGGATAGTGTTCTCGTCTAGCTAAAGAAAAGCGCGTAGCGATAGAGAGCGAAAGAGATAGATAGATAGATAGATAGATAGATAGATAGATAGATAGATAGATAGATAGATAGATAGATAGATAGATAGATAGAGAGAGAGAGAGAGAGAGAGAGAGAGAGAGAGAGAGAGAGAGAGAGAGAGAAGAGAGAGAGAGAGAGAGGAGAGAGAGAGAGAGGAGAGAGAGAGAGAGAGAGAGAGAGAGAGAGAGAGAGAGAGAGAGAGAGAGAGAGAGAGAGAGAGAGAGAGAGAGAGAAGAGAGAAAAAAAAAAGAGAGAAGAGAGAGAGAGAGAGAGAGAGAGAGAGAGAGAGAGAGGGAGTGGCAAAGAGGAGGGAGGGAAAAGGAATACGTGGTCATTGGATGCATCATGCAACATCGTGCCGATATTTTCGTCCTTAGTGCCTTCAATTAGAATCGAAGTCGTTGGAACCTGCGCCTCAGGGTCGCCTCGAGTCGCTCATTCGCGTTTCTCTCGAGTCTGTCGTCATCGTCGTCCTTCTCCTCCTTCCTCTCCTCTCCACTCCTCCTCCTCCTCCTCCTCCTCCTCCTCCTCCTTCTCCTCCTCCTCCTCTTTCTCCTCGTCGTCGACGTCGAATTTTTCTTATTTTTAGCGAAACAACTTGTTAACTCGGTCGTGTTCCACGCTATCCGTTATAAAACTTTTACCCCGTTCGTACTTATTTCCAAGCTTAAAATTGGAAACGGTCTGAAAGCGGAGAAGCGATCGCCTCGGCAGCGATCGAATCTCCGGAGAGCCGTGAACGAGAAATTTGAGGACGCAGCCGGGAAAGTGCATTTCGCTAGGTGAAGCTAAAAAGAGAAAGAGGGATATATATATATATACATATATATATGTGTGTGTACATATATATATATATATATATATATACATATCAGGCTGAGCAGGAAGGGAGGTGGGGAAAAGAAGTAGCTCAAATACACACAGGTCGAAAGACATTCGATATGGAGGGAAAGGGGAAATGGCCAGAATATCAGAATGAATCCCCAAATGACGCTGAGGACGCACACAAGCAGATGCGTGGGCGAAAGCATGTCCCTCCCCCCGCATCCTCGCACAAGCCACCACCACCACCCGGCGGCAGCCCCTCCGCCCTCTTGCCGATTTACGTGCTAATCTGAAATCGATAAGTTCTCCGGCACATCCCGAGACTTTGGGGACGTTTCGACGAATTATTCAGTGCGCGGAGTTATTAATGTCCTGCTCAATTACAGGCGAGTTTTCAGCGAGCGGGGGAAATCAATTAAGCGCACATCGACGGGAGCGGACGCTCGTAATCCCTTGTCGCGTATCGTTAACTCTCCCTCGCCGCCGCGCGACGATTCCGCGTGGCGTCCTTTTCTTTTTGCTCTCGTCTTGCGTTCGTAAGAAAAGGGAAGAGGATCAGGATAAGAAACGAGAGAGAGAAAGAGAGAAAAAATGCGCGTCCGCGTACACACGTCATTACGTCGACAAAACGAATGTCCCCGGCATCTAGAAGTTTTATCTCGTCATTAACTTTAGTCCCCCCCCCTTCTTTCAACCCCACCCGTGAATCCTCGCTGTTATGCTGCGGTTTATTTGACGCGCGTTTATTCATCGCATAATCTCGTATTATTTATTTAACGGATTTCGGGCCGGCTTCGCGCGTTGAAATTGATGGCGCTTTTCGTTACCGGTAACTGATACCAAATGTGAAGTTCAATTAGCCACTTATTAAATTCCCCGTCAGGATAAATAACGCCGGCGGCGGTGACGGGCGACGAGGGTGTGAATTGTGTGTGTCCCATGAAAACAACGCGCGACATCGCGCCGACAATGCCCTCCCTCCCCACGCTCCATTTCATCCGGATCGATGGCTTAAATTAATTGTATCTTTTCGTACGGCATATAATTAATCGCACGCTAATTCCTTTATCAGCTGTACGTCGCGGCGACGGTTGCGTGCACATAAGGCGCGCGCGCGGGCGAAGGTGTTTTCTCGCGTCGTTCCGTCGCTCTTCTCTCGCGCTTCCACAATCGCGAAATTGTCTGTGCGAGGAATGGTAAGTGTCGACGATCCATTCGCTCGCGAGTTTATGCGAACTGTCGTCGGTCTTCTGCGCATAAAAGCCGCGCGAAAAACGCGATCCACCGAGAGATCCGGAAAAATCGCGCCTCCGCCGAGCAATCCTTAAAGGAATGAGAGAGAGAGAGAGAGAGAGAGAGAGAGAGAGAGAGCTCAAATAAGTAATATCGGACGTGAGAAATCACGGTCGTCGTAAAAATCCGTCCGGGGGTAGGCGACGCTAAACTCGCCGCCTCTCTATGGAATTAACTCCCGCGCGGAATTCTCGCGCGGCGCGGCGCGGCTCGTTTCCTGAGGAGCTTTGTACGCGGCCGATAACGAATTTCCTTGTTTCCCATTCAGACACCGGGTATTCAGCAAGCACGCGGAAAGCGTGCGTGACATTAACCCTTTTCAATTGCGCCAAGTGCGTGCTGGAGTTGTGTCGTCTGGATTTCTCGGATTCCGGGCTGTTTCGAATTCTACGGCGGTTCTCGACTCGCCAGGTCCGTCCTCGAATTGCCACTGCGGATTCAATAGGCCCATTGAGCGCGCACAGTCGAGCAACTTGCGCACAACTTTTCGATCATTAAGTACGTGCGCGCGCGCGCGCGCGTACGTGCGTGACGGGACCGTCAGGAGCACTTCATTTATATCGCGTGTAAGCCTTTGACCCCACGCATTGGCGTTCGTTTAGCGTGTTCGTAGGACATAAGCGTCTATTTTAAATCTGCAATCGAAAAGGACGAGAGTGCAACTCGATTTTGCAACTTGCCTCTGCGCAATCTCGCAGAATGTTTCTTTCTTTCTTTTTTTTTTTTTCAGACTCTCGTTATTATTACGGAATAATAATAAGATCGAGTCGGATCTCTGTGATGAACACAACGTGCACATTCGCGTCTGCGAGACCCCGTTCCCGACACGAGGGGTTAATTAATTAATTAATTTCGCGTGTATCGGCGGCGGGACAAACAGGAGACAGAGATAAAAATAAACAACGGTTCCTTTGTTTCCGGCGCCGCCGCTAATCGGTCAGTTTGTCGAGATGACGAAACAACCCGAGAGACAGAGAGAGAGAGAGAGAGAGAGAGAGAGAGAGAGAGAGAGAGGGGGGGAGAGAGACCCGTCACCCCCGAAATAGCCCCCAAATTGATTGAGCGAACGGTTCCACGGAGGAGACGACGCGATTTTAGTCCGAACGGTGCCGGTAAATAAAATGGTCAAATCAGGACTCAGCCGAAAGGCGTTAATCTCGCGCTCGTCGAACAATAGCTGCGATAGATTGAAATTTTAATTGGATTTGCGCCGCGCCACGCACACCGGCAACGCGCAATCGACGACTGCGAGATCGAGAGCCGCGGAACCGGACGGTCGATCGGGGCTGGATTAAGCCATGGCCGGCGTCGCGTGCAAAAAATGGCGCGTATCGATGATGACGACGATGACGATGACGATGACGATGCTGCGCGCGCGCGCGCGCGCGCGATCTCGGCTTGTACAGGTCGTTGTTTTCGGAGAGACGCGTTAATAGAACGAGCTCGTCGGACGAGATCGCGGAGGGGTTGGCCGCTTCTCGACCCTGGGAAAAAAAGTCACAACGCGCCCGGGTCCTGCGAGCGAATCGTTTGGGCGAATTGCGTGGGATGGGAATACCCTTGAGAGTAGTCGCTCGTGATATCCAATAGTCGAGGAGACATAACCTTGACGAACCGCTACGAAGGCCCTCTGGTCAACCCTGCCGGTGCGTCGGAACTTTTTTGCCGCCAAGTACCATTTTGGATCACGGTGGTGTGTACGCGTTCATGCTTACACATCTGGCGTTTCGGACGCCGACGACGGTCTTCTCCTCCTCCACGTCGAGTCGCGGAGAATGTAATACGAGCTAATTCTGAGTAAATTTAATTAACGAGACAAACCCTTGAGCTCGGCCATCCCCGCGAAAATATAATCCCCACGATATTAACACGAGAGACTTGCTCTCGGGGCGATTCTCTGCCGCCTCAATAACGCGGCGCGCTTAATAAATCGGCCATGAATCATCAGCCCTTGAAAAGCCGGCCGCGATGAACGGACAGGTGGACTGTCCGCGAAACGGGCGCGTTGATATCGCGCGATAAAGTTGAATTCCGCTTATTATCGCTCGGCACACGCGTGCTGTTATCGCGTCGATACCAACAAATTAGGATGAGCACGCGGCGCGCGCGACAATGAATAAAAACGACGCGGCCGGGGCGGAATTAATCTGCAAATTTTTAATCGCCCGGCATTGTGTGTCCCACGGAACGTGAAGTGCGCGAAATTGCTCGCATAATTCGTCGGAATCAAATTTTCCGATAAAATGTAATACGATAGTGATATACGAACACACACAACGCACACACGGCATGCAAATGAGATCGCGAAATGGAAAGTCGTGTGACGGTTACTGGCGTGACGGTAAGCCAAAGCGACATTTTTCTTGCTGCGTGGACGCGACCAAATTCGCGCGACGTTCACTCGCGACAGTAATTATCGTGCCCAAACAATCCCTACCGTATCGCCACTGCCGCGTTTATGGCGCGCCTCGAGCATTCGAGAGATGCGTGAAAGAGTCGCGCGAGCACTATCGTCACCTTGCACTATCACTGCAAGTTGCCACTGGCATAAAAGCATCCTACTAACGTATCAGAGGTCCCAAAAACGCTCATCATCCATCGATACGAGTCGCAATGCTGAGAGATAAACATCTCCCCCTCTCTCTCTCTCTCTCTCTCTCTCTCTCTCTCTCTCTCTCTCTCTCTCTCTTTCTCACTCTCTTTCTCTCGACTATTTGGCGCTACCATAAGCGAGAAACACGCCGTCGATCGCTCGATATCAGCGTAGCGATCGGAGAGTACAGGCAATTAATATCGAACATTTCTACTGTCGTGACGAGAAAGCAAGAGAAAGAGAGAGAGAGAGAGAGAGAGAGAGAGAGAGAGAGAGAGAGGGAGAGAGAAAGGGAGATAGACAGATAGGCAGACAGATGCTAGACGCGCGCGTGGCGTAATACTCGGCACTTGCTACGTAAACGCACCCTTTTCTACGGACATTCCTCCTCGTCGGCTGCTCCGCGTGCTCTCCGCGGCATATCTCTCCTCTGTTTTACGGTCGATCGGAAGCCGGGCGAAGAGAAATCGCCGTTCTCGCCGTCGCCGTCACCGCCGCTGCCGCTGCCGCCACCGTTGCACCGCCGCACCGCACTGACAAAAACGTGTTTTCTCGTCCGGTCGAACGTATGTGTGTGTGTGTGTGTGTGTGTGCGCGGTATCAAGCTATGTATTACGACAGCGCGAATCCGTCAGCGCGGTACCGCGAGGAGCGCGAACTTGGCGAGACAGCCCCGTCCGACAGTCGGGGAGCGCGCGAGCGAGCCACCCCCTGGGAATGTGCACATGTCGCGATCTCGGTGCATCTCGCGGCTTTTCGACGACGCCGGGCGCAGGGTGATATGACGTGGCCCGATATCGAATGGTCCACTTTTCGCATCGCTAAGCTTCCGGCTTGCGTGTGCCGTGGTCGATATTTATTGCGCCTCGGCGGCTCTCGAGCCGCTCTTTCTCTCTCCCTCTGTCTCTCTGTCTCTCCCTCTCCCTTTCTCCCCGAAGAAATCGACTGAATTGCGCGCGTTCCTCGGACGGCCAGCTGTTAATCGGTCTCGAGGAGGAAGCGTTCCCGCCGCTGTTCCCGCCGCCAGGTAAAAATCGTCTCTTCCTCCCCCTACTCTTCTCTCCCCTGGCTCTCTCTCTCTCTCTCTCTCTCTCTCTCTCTCTCTCTCTCTCTTGATTCGGCGACCTACGCCGATTTAACTGCCGTCACGAAGGAGGTACGACGCTCGGAGGAGCAGCAGCAGCAGCACCACGTCGTCATCGTTCCTGGAGCAGTCACGCCACCGACAGTCGTTTATTCCCCAGGACTTGATTACCGTCGCAGTTGCCGTCGTCATCGTGCGCACACCCGATGTCGACGAGCGGATTCACGAGTGTTCGTTCCCGCGAAGGATACTCTCCGTCTCGCTCGCTCGCTCGCTCGCTCTCGACGGCCGCGTCACGAGAGGAAGGGAGAGCGACTGAGGGGGAGAAGAAGGCGCGCACGATGGGGTACGCGACTCGGCACGTCTGCGAGGATTTTCCTCTCTCGTTTCTCCCCTACCCTTCCTTTCTGCCTTCCTTCCTTCCTTCCTGCCAGCCTGCTTGCCTGCTTGCCTGCCTGCCTGCCTGCCTGCCTGCCTGCCTGCCTGCCTGCCTGCTTGCTTGCCTGCCTGCCTGCCTGCCTGCCTGCCTGCCTGCCTGCCTGCCTGCCTGCCTGCCTGCCTGCCTGCCTGCCTGCCTGCCTGCCTGCCTGCCTGCCTGCCTGCCTGCCTCCCTGCCTGCCTGCCTGCCTGCCTGCCTGTATGTCTGTCTGTCTGTCTGTCTGCCTGCCTGCCTGCCTGTCTGTCTGCCTGCCTGCCTGCCTGCCTGCCTGCCTGCCTGCCTGTCTGCCTGCCTGCCTGCCTACCTGCCTGCCTGCCTGCCTGCCTGCCTGCCTGCCTGCCTGCCTGCCTGCCTGCCTGCCTGCTTGCCTGCCTGCCTGCTTGCCTGCCTGCCTGTCTGCCTGCCTGCCTGCCTGCCTGCCTGCCTGCCTGCCTGCCTGCCTGCCTGCCTGCCTGCCTGCCTGCCTGCCTGCCTGCCTGCTGCCTGCCTGCCTGCCTGCCTGCCTGCCTGCCTGCCTGCTTGCCTGCTTGCCTGCCTGCCTGCCTGCCTGCCTGCCTGCCTGCCTGCCTGCCTGCCTGCTTGCCTGCCTGCCTGCCTGCCTGCCTGCCTGCCTGCCTGCCTGTCTGCCTGTCTGCCTGCCTGCCTGCCTGCCTGCCTGCCTGCCTGCCTGCCTGCCTTCCTTCCTTCCTTCACCCCGCTCGTACGACCATAGGACCACAAGCCGCGGTGCACAAGCAGTATCGAAATGTCACAAACTATTTACTCACTCGACGATTCAGGGCAGTGGAGCTTCATGAACGCGTTTCGCAGTATGTATCAGGCCATCGGAGCACGGCCGAGCTCGCGGCCCTTCTTCCGCAGCTTCGAGTCTAAAGCCACCGTCCGCACCGATACGCCGTTAAGGCAGCACCGCGCGCGCACACCCGCGCTACACCACCAGCAGCAACCGCCGCTATCGCCGCCGCCGCCGCCGCCACCGCCGCCGCCGTCGCCGCCGCCTCCACCACCGCCGCCGCCGCCGCCGCCGCCGCCGCCGCCGCCGTTGCCGTCGCTGCTACGCCGAGCATATTTCCGCGGGGGTGGGAGAGGCAGGAGGAAGGGATGGAAACGTACGTGCGAGAAAGAGAGAGAGAGAGAGAGAGAGAGAGAGAGAGAGAGAGAGAGAGAGAGAGAGAGAGAGAGAGAGAGAGAGAGAGAGAGAGAGAGAGAGAGAGAGAGCGACAAGGCGTGCTATCAAGTGGGGAGAACGCGAGCAAAGCGTTTGCGCGAGAGAGTAGAGTTACGCGGGCGGCGGAGAGGCAGCGCGGGAAACATGCGCGCGAAAGAGAGGAGCGAGAGGTGGACACGGGTAGGAAGAGAGGCTTGCGAGGGGTCGAGAGAAAGAAGCAAGAGGGAGCCGGAGGAGAGCGAGATGGAAGGGAGGCTTGGGGAACGCGTGGTGCACCAGGCCTCTCCACCGACGTGGATGGATTCGCGCGCGCGCGCGAGCGCGCGTGTGTGTGTGTGTGTGTGGATGGGTGGGTGGGTGGGTGTATGTATGTACGTGTATGTACACGTATGTATAATATATGCATGTGTATCATGCATTTATCCATATGTATACACGGTGGGTTTATCGGATGACGCATACATGCGCGCACGCTCATGGAGGGAGGATGTATGCGTAGCCCCGAGGCTGCGTATATCTCTTACTAGCGCGCTCCCTCGGCGGAGGGCTCGCGCGCGGGTAGTCACGGCTGTTCGGTGTGTACAAACGCGTGCGTGCGTGCGTTTATATGCGTGGACGAACGAACGGCGCGCTGGAGGCTGGAGGATCGAGAGACGCGTGATTCATGCGCGGCTTCCTTTTGTCTTTCTCCGCCACTCCCGCCTCGCTCGTTCTTTCTCAGTCGCTACTTCTCGTCGATGACGAGAGCGGATATGTAAACCGCGAATGTGTCATTTCTTTCTCTTTCTCTTCCCCCTCTCCCTCCCTCCCGCTCTCTCTCTCTCCCCCTCTCCCTCTTTCTCCGCCGTTCTCCGCATTCGGCCGCACCCTCTTCTCCGCTGGACGCCCGGTCATCCCTTGTCCACCTCCAGAGAGAGGGTTGCGCGGCCGAGCGTCAGCGAAGATGGCCGAAGGTGAACGAGCGCGTTCGCGGCTGGAGGGCGGGTGGTGAGGATCGAGGTCGGCTGGCGCGGACGACGCGCTCACGGGGGTGAGAGTTTCGAGTTCCTCGTACTGCTGCTCGATGCAGGGGCGAAGTTCCAGGCGGCCCTCGCGCCTCGTAAACTCCACGGCCATTGTCTTTCCAGTCATTGGGCAGGCTCGCGTTTAAGGGGTTGGACGGCACGAATAGCTAGTCACAGGCAGGCGATGTATAGTTTACGCGCGCGGCAGGGGATGATGTTCCGCGAACTTTATCCGTAGCATCGACATCAAAAGCCGGATGAGGCGGTCGAGATCGAAGACGACGCTTTCAATGTCGGGCTATCGATACCCACCACCCTTTATCTCTCTCTCTCTCTCTCTCTCCACCGGCCGCTCGCCTTCGTCCTTTTCCTTTTACAGTTCATAAATCTTCTTTTATATACCTACTTCATTTAAGTGGACGCTCGCGCGAGAGAGTTTATCGAAGAGGTCGAAAGTGCCGCAGCGCCCGAGGCCTCCGACTAATAGAAGCTACTCTTCTTTTTCACCCTCCTCTCTGGTCTTCTCTTCTCTCTTCTCTCTTCTCTTTTCTTCTCTTCTCTACCCTCGTCCAACTCCAATTTTCACCGGTGTGCGTCTTTTCATTCTTGCCCCCTCGTGCCCCCGTGCCGCGCCACGGCATTCGCCTTAACCTCCGCCGTCGGCTGGATCGCGCATATAGCGTATGTTTAATTCATGCCGCGCGTTATGCACGCGAGCCGAGGGGGTCGCGGCCTCCCTGTTTTTCCGACGCCTTGTCCTTCGTGTTTTGATTTCCCGGCGCGATGAGACAGCGATGAGTCGCGTCATGTTGTGCCGGCCAGCCTGTCTCGTCCTTCTCCTTTTGTCCTCCGCGAGCCTCGCCGTGTACGAGATACGCACCGTAGTGTCAACCGTTCCCATTTTCTGCCGCGAGTGTGAGATGATTGCGCACGGCCTCGTGACCGTGCTCGTCCTTTGTGCGACCACCGGGTCTCGCTCCATCAGCAGCAGAGCGGTCGGCTGCCGAGTCGGCCAGCACTGCGATGTTTCGGTCGGTCGTTATTTCCGCGGCTCGTTTTTTCGGACGCCATCTCTCACACGTATCTTTCACTCGCGTGACCGACTCGCCGGCGGAAACGCGGCTTGCGTGCCGCCGAATTGCGGACGAATATGCATATAATCATATGCGCGCCGCGTCCGCATATTACTTCAGACACGCCGGCGGGCGCCGCGATTGTTGTTATAACCGATCGCAACTCCGACTCGCAACATCCACCTGAAACAGCCCGGGACAAAGTTGCTGCTTATTATTATTGTTGTGATGATCCGCTCGCGCGCTTTTGACGTCGCGACGCGCTTTTGGCGTCGACTAATTGCCAGCGCCTGGGTGTCTCGTGAGCGGAGAGACATTTTCACGCCATTAATCGTCGCACTATTAAATGGAGTGGCATTTTCACATGGAACTTTCGATGGCTCTTCCAACTTTGTAGCGGCGCGTATAATGCATAATTTAAACAGCGAGATAACTTTGTGCATTACCATCTATGTATATGCATCGAGCGATGCGAATAGGAGGAAGGGCCGGAGGAATAGGAGGAGGAGGAGGAGGTGGTGGAGGTGGATTAAGTCCCGGCAGATATTACCGAGTGATGTAAGTCGTGAGCGGCGATATTTATAAGCATACGCGCACCGTATCATATTGTCGTGCGAGATCGAACGTTTAGGGTGGGTTATTGCGTCGAGCGAACAAGCGCTCGTTCCCTCCACTCGTTCACCTCTTCGCCGGGGAAGCGAAAGAGGGACGTGACCTGACGCCGACGCGAATTCATACACGGGCGAAAAAAGAAGCCGATCGACGTAAGTCACCGAGAGAGCGGAAAATGATGAACACGGAATTTCACGGGGAAAGTCGGCTCGGGAGATATTAAAAGTTGAAAATGCGGGGTTGTTGCCGTGAACGAACAATTATTAACGACAGGAGCTTGGCACGTGTTTTGGAAATTTCATGTCCTTTCTCTCTCTTTCTCTCTCTTTCTTTCTCTCTCTCTCTCTCTCTCTCTCTCTCTCTCTCTCTCTTTCTTTCTTTCTTTCTCTCTATTACACGCACATCCGCGGTCACGGCGGAGAAACCCGGGAAATCTAATATGCGCATCATGCGAATTAATTTACGACGCATATGGTCGGCCGTTATCGCGACAGATAATGTCGGATTTGCTCTCGCAGTTCGATATCGTCGAGTTTGTAATCAACATAGTTTCTGTGCCTTCCTGTCGTCGTCAATCAGCCCTACAAAGGGAAAGAGAGAGAGAGAGAGAGAGAGAGAGAGAGAGAGAGAGAGAGAGAGAGAGAGAGAGAGAGAGAGAGAGAGAGAGAGAGAGAGAGAGAGAGAGAGAGCGTTCCATCGAAAGTTTTCGAAAAGTAGATCGGAAAGAGAGAATATCCCGTATAAGATGTAACGAAGTCTCGGAACACGCCGTTCGTCCGGACATGACAGTCCATTCGTGGCTATCGACGTTCCAGCTGAATCAAGACTCACTTGCGCCGGGCCTTGGGAGGGGGGGGGGAGAACGAGAGATAGGGAGAGATGATTCGGATCTTAATTAATGAATTCTTGCACACTCCGACGGCACAGTGCGATCGATCGTGATCGCTAATTGGTGGGGATTAATTTCCCGCCGGACGGCCTCTCTTCCGCGAGGATCAGCCGATAACATTCGCCGAGAGACTCATATGAAATTCAAATTGACCGTTTGTAATTCAATATAATTATTTGCGGTGCCAATCGCGCGTGTGTATATATATATATATAGACTTTAAATATATATATATATATATATATATATATATTTCAAAGGAAGAACACGCGGCTATAATAATTCACATAAGAAAATAGAAGCCGCTGTGGAAGTCACAATATTGGCGGTCGATTAACGTGCGTTTATCGGTCCGATCGCGAACGCGGAAGATCAAAGGGAGCCTTTTTAAGAGTCCGACCGCGCCTCTCACTGCCGGCCGGATTAAGGATTCCCTCGTCGTCTCTCGCGCACCGCGATCGAACATCTCTCTCCATTTTGTCGTCATAGGAACGGCGACGAGTCGCGCGAGGGTCTTCGCTGATTCTCGTTCTTCTCTTCTGGGAGTGGAATAACTCCCGGAAAGAGAGGACGAAGTTCAAATATATTTACAAAAAAATATATTACAAAAAATATAGTTACAATTAAAGCAACAAGATCCTCACCACGACAATGTTGTCGGTATCGCGTTCATTTCGTCGAGTTCCTCCGAGACACGCCGCGAGTTTACTTAAAAAGAAAAAAATAAAAATAAAAAAATAAAAACGAAGATTCTTTTAACGAAACAGACGATAGAAAGCCAGAAACGCGCGCAGTCGATGACGAATCCGCGGGGAAAAGTTCGCTGTTGGCGAATTTTCAATCGCATCTCGCGAATCCCCCGATGCGTCACTCACCTTATCGCGCGGGCGACATCATTTCGGCCACGTCGACGCAACGCGACGAAATAAAATATCGGGGGACGTAATCGGCCGTAAAAAGCGCCGCTGGAAATCGTCCTAACGACGCGCGAATGTGGTCACGGGTGAAGTGCGGATCCGCTCGGATTTTCTCGCGCTTGACCCATTTTTGCCCAGCGTCTGGGGAACGCACGAATGATATGTGTGTGTGTGTGTGAGAGAGAGAGGGAGAGAGGGGGTGTTATTACTTCTTCGGAATTTAATTAATCCCCGCCCCCGTCAGATTTCCTTCCCGCCAATGGTTTTCAGCGCGCCAGCGACGCCTCCGACGGAGCATTAATAACGATC